TTTTCTGTCTCTCTATCTCTCTGTCTCTCTCTGTGAGTGCATGTGCCCTATAGCAAAAACCTCTCCAAAAAAAATAAAAGTGTGTAATTCAGTACTTTTTAGTGTATTTATAAATGTGTGCCATTTAAATGTTTTTTGCCCTAGAGTACATGTGCTTGCCAGGCACACACACACACACACACACACACACACACAGAGATAGACAGAGATAGTAAATCATTCATGGGGAGATAACTATTACAATCCCTTCTCCTCCATTCTACCCTAGGGATTTGGGGCATGTACACACATGGGTGTGATATTCAAGTCGCTGGGTCCAGGACTCAAACTGTGGTCAGCTATGTGGGAGTCTAGTGCCTCAACCACCACATCATCAACTGGTCACTGTTATTGTTTTTTTTTTTTAAGTTTTATTTTTATTTATTTATTTCCCATGAGAAACAGAAAGAGAGAGGGGGACACCCTCAACAAGGTCTTCATGCTATGATCCATCCACAGCCTTGGCCAGTCAGGATCATGGGTCCATATGTTTGCCCAGCATGTATAGTAACTTTCCCATATGGCTTCAGCATCCTAGAATGTTGTATTACTGCTGCACCACCATAGCTGGCCTGTTAACTGTTTTTAATGCACACTCCAACATACATGTATTTATCATTTTTATTTTTTAAAGAATTATTTATTATTATTTTTAATTTGACCAGAGAGAGACAGAGAGTAAGAGAGAGGGAAAGTGAGAAAGCAAGGTGTCAGGTCTGGGACTTGTACTACAGTCGACCATGTGGGAGTCTAGCACTTTAACCACTACACCACCTGCCAGCCCTATGAATTTATCATTTTTTTTGAAGTGTTTGCTATAGGGCATGTGTGCTCGCCAGAAAAACAGAGAAAGACGGAGAGACAGAAAGCAAGAAATCACCCCCCTCCAGGGGGGATGGCCACGCTGCAATCCCTTCTCCTCCATTCTCCTCTTAGGATCTTGGGTATGCACGCACATGTGCCCGGCGTGAATTTAAGCCACCAGGTCCGAGACTAGAACCACAGTCTACTACATGGGAGTTCAGCGACATAGGAATTCAGCGACATAGCCATTACGCTAATTGCTGGTCCCGTATTTATCAATTTTTAAACTTTACAGAGAAAGATAATACAGTGACCAATTTTTGGAACCTTGCTTTTTATTTTATTAAATGAATTTTCCATATCAGAAAATACCGATATGCCTCATTAAAAAAAATTGTTTTTCTTTATTCACTGTAGAGTACGCACACAACAGAGAGAGAGAGAGAGAGAGATGAACACCTTTCTCAGGGTATGGCTATGCCAAAATTCCTTTCCTGGGCATACACATGTGCCTGGTATGTCTTAGGATTACTGGGCTAGAGATTTGAACTATGATTGCCATTTGGGATCTGGCTTCTTTTGAGCAGCACATTAGTGCTGTGTCACAGAGCCAGCCTACTACCTCATTATTTTTAATGACTCTCTTGTATTATATTTTATGATTGATCTGTCTGCTCTTACCATGCACACTAAACATCCTTGTCAACTTTCCTGTGTATTAAGTAAGTACTTATCAATGCAATTGCTAGGTCAAAGAATGCATGGAGTTAAATTTGGTAAATATTACCAATACCCATATGATGAATATTACCAACACCCATACTAGAGGTCAATTAAAACCAGCATCCAAAGTCATGAATGCCCATTTCCCTACTTTCTTACCAACATTTTATTTTTTCCAATTTTAAGAAATGACATTTATTCATTGATGTTATGCTTTGCATTTTCTGTATGTGTTTGTTGACCATTTGATTTTCTTTTCCCTAACCTGTCTGCTTGTATCCTTTCCGTTTTTTTTTTTCAAATTTGTCTTTTCTCATTGATTTGTATAAGTTCTTTATCAGTTCACATTAATTTTACACTGAAAATGTGTCCAGTTCTACCACTGGCATTGCCATGTCTTTATTGGTGCTTTCCTTTTTGCCTATTAACTATTACTGACTTGACCTCATTACACTCAAATCAACAACAGAGAGGATGAAGATATAAAAACCAGGAAGCAATAATGGCCCCCCAGAATTCTTTGGGTTTACTAAGGACACAGAATTGTAGTAGAGTACACTCTGATAACTAAAGACCCTATTCTTTGTTACCCTGCTCTATACTGAATAGAAAACCCTATTTGACTATGAAATTAAAAACTTAACTTGTAATTATCTAGTAGAAAGGGCAGAGAATATTGATAGCTTTCCATGTTTTTAGTAAACTTTAGAGAATGGGATTAAAGCAAAGGATTCTTAGGATTTCCTGTACTTTTTAATGTTATGTTCAATGCTGTTTCCTTCGTCCTTACCAACATTTCACTGGCAAGTAGGCAATGATAAGTGGCAGTTTCATTGTAAACATTTAAAATTAACTAGGCATATGGTATGTCTCTAAGTATTTAGAATTAACTAGAAGTGATTTTTTATGTTGCTAATGGATAACCTTGGATTATCAGAACAACAGAGGAAATCCTTCTGTTTCTATTTGTTAGGAGCTGGACACTGACACCTTGGGTACCTGCATAGATTTCCAGGTTGTGCCAGGCTGTGGCATTAGCTGTAAAGTCACCAATATTGAAGGCTTGCTACATAAGAATAACTGGAAGATAGAGGGAAACAATATTAAAAATGCATCCCTGGTTCAAATTGATGCAAGTAATGAACAGTCATCAACTTCGTCTTCTATGATTATTGATGCCCAGCTCTCAAGTAAGCTAATTTTCTTTGTAGTACGAATTATGGAGCAGTTATGAACAGATGGCTAGCTTTATAACCCTGAACTATTGTATAAGAAACAACAATTGGCATCTTGATTCCATTCTCTCCAATCAGTTTTATGATAGGTCTTGTGGTAACCTCACTCAAGTTTCTGGAGAACATTTTCCAGCTATGCTTGTTGATACCACTAAAGGGTCACTACAGTTAGCCCAAACCTTTTATATCTTTCACAAGATTCTGTGACCCTCCACTTTGTCTCCTCTGCAAGTTACCTTGCTTATTTTACATATCGAAAGTTAAGGTTCTGAGGCATGTGCTGTTTCCATATTTCCCTATAATTACTAGTTTTTCTTTTATGGGAGAAGTATTCCTTATCTTTCCTAATGAGTCCCTGTATGTTTGCTCTAGATCCCACCCTCTCATGATTCCTCAGGAACCTTCCTTCTCTCTGTTATGTCCTTAGTTCTTTATTTTTCACCTCTCTATAGTATCATCTTCTCATAAACATATAAATATTTCTTCTACTAAAATCACTATATTCTCATTTAGATTCTGTCCTTTCCCATATGTATTCTCATCTAGAATCTGTCTTTCTTTTATATAGTACCACAACTTACAGAAGGAGTAATCTAGATTTGCTTAACTTACTTACACACTATACAGTCATGCTTTGCTTTTTTGCCCTCTGGCTTCTGCTTCATCCATACCATTCAAGGTATTTCAAGTCCACTGATGACCAGGGACTTTGGTGCCCTCTCCTCTGGTCACTTTTCTGTCTTCTTACATGAGCTCACTATTGTATTTGATGATGTTGATCATTTCGTCCTTTTTAAAATTCTTTCCTCCCATGATTCCATGACTACTTTCTTAAAATTATCCTCTTATAAATTCCCTTTGATTCTTATTTTCTCCTGCCCTCAAATGTTCTATGTCCTCAGGTTTCATTTTTTGTCTTTTCCTTATTTTTACATACCCTCTCTGCACAATCTCATTCATGCCCATCACTTATTCTGCACTCCAAAATCTCTTATCTCTAGCCAAGGCCTGTTTCCTAGGCTTCATGTTGGTCTCTCATGTGCTCCCCAAACATGCTTTGCCACATAGGTGTTCCAGCACTTCCCCACCCATTTGTACTTAACAAATCTTACCACATCAATTTCTGACTGATACCCTTTATTACAGTGGTTTATAAACCTATTTTCTTTTTTTTTTCTTCTTTGCCTTAGGGCATGTGCACTTGCCAGAGAGAGAGAGACAGACAGAAACAGTGAGAGGTAAAGTGAGAAATCAAACCCCCCCCCCCAGGGGGATGGGCATGCTGCAGTCCCTTCTCCTAGAATCTTGGGCATGCATGCACACACATCTGGTGTGAGGTTCAAGCCACCAGATCCAGAACCCAAACTGCAGTCAGCCATGTGGGAGGCCAGTGACATAACTGCTACATGGCCCAGTAGAAAGCCATTTTTTACTCATGGACCTGTGAAGGAATGTAATGGAAGCTATGGACCTACTTCTCAGCAAATTTTTGTTTCAAGAGGTTCACTTATATCCCAAAGTCCATCCATGGAGCTCTGCTATGGGTCCTGGCTTTAATAGTTCTCTCTCTCCTACAGGACAAAATCTAGTCTCTCTGACTTTGTTCAAGACCTGTTCTCCATGAAAAGACTGTCTCCTGCCTCACTGCATCACTCATCTTATCTTCTTCTACTGCCCCATATGTATTCTTTTTTTTTTTTTTTTTTTTTTTTGTGAGGTTTTTTCTTTAGGGCATGTGTT